AATGCCCTGAAGTTGAGTTGAGCAAAGGGAAATGCAAAGTCGTGCAGGTAGCGAACGCTCCTGGCTCTCAGCTGGGTCAGCCCCATGCACGGCACTCTCTACATTACGCACATCACTCGACAAACACACGGGACAGGGATTTCAGACATTAACAACCCGTTAAGTCAGCTTTGCATCTCCACTCTGATTGTACGTACTGTGGAAATACCAACCCACAATTTAAGCAAGCAGCATAATGTTGCCTTTAAATGAAAAAGGAACAGAAAAACATGTTTCTCTGCTTGTATTTAATTTCTCTGCCATCACCTATTCCGTTTTATCTTCTTGCTTTTAAAAATAGTGCTGCAAGTAAAAAGCATTAACTGTAAATTTAACTGTAGTCCCCTCCTCTAAAAAAGACCCCCAGTAATAGCAAAAGAAAACACAAGACTTTTAGACAAACAGGTTTATAAGGTTTATTTTCCATTGCACATACATGGATTATATACAAGTTAGTAACATAAGTTACTTCTTAATTTTCTAAAAGATTGTTACAGCAAACACTTGCCATTTTAAAACATCAAGTCAGAAATCAATCTAAAAAGGTAAATATGACAATATTTTAAAAACAAAACAAATTGCACTTTGTTAGGGAGAGTCAAATACAGGTTTGTCTATAGGCTGTAACAAACTATATAGCAGGTAATATTACAGTTAGAAGTAGCTCTTGCAGTCCATTTGTACATTAATAATTCTTTTCAATTTTACTTAATTAAAAACTGGTGGATATTTCAAAGACTTTCTCTTCTTCCTAGTATTCAAGATTCATCACATGAAATGCACTAGCAACTAAGACTTTATACAATTGCTATTCAAATATAAGAAGAACAGCACACCTGAAAATAAGGAAAAAATTAAACGATATTGATTTTACATGTATCATGAGATGAAAAGTATGGAAGGTGTTCAGCAATAAAGCCCTGTCCACTACTTACATAAAAGAAAATTTTTTAAAATAATCACTGCACACAATACAAAGGGTGGGGTCATACTGTAGCTTTTCAGTCTCCCGTAACAGCAATATTCCTCATTACTGTTCACAGATGAGTGTTTCCATAGCAAACCTGTTCTCAAAGTGTCGAATCTTTCGGCAGTTGACGGCTTCACGCTTCTGAATTCCTGTTTGTATTGGTAAAGAACAATGGACGGTAAACAGAAGAGGGGATGAGGTACACCAGAGGCACAAGAGTTTTACATTTGCTATAATAAGATGTCACCAGAAACCAGAACTACCCCTCTTCGGCCCCCCTCTCAGAGGAAACACAGGTAGACACATATTCATACGTAAAAAAATCAATAAGCAGGCAATGATCCTGAAGGTGTGCTGAGCCAAACTGCAATACTGGTTTAGTTAAAACCAACCTGCCAACCTTCCCCTCACTGGCTAGTTTTAACCCAGATCAGTTCCCAATCTCCCTCTGTGTGTCTGTAAAAACGCTTGTGGGGACATGAGAGAGGGAACAGCAAAGGAATAAACCGCTATAGGCAAAAGAGAGTGGACTAGTAGTATTTAAATAACAACATCTTGGAATTGGTGAAAGAGAATTTAACCAAATTTTAGCCAAACTAATGTTCATTGCCAACCTATGCTCATCATTTATTACCAGAGGATCAACATACTGGATTTTGAATTGGATTTTGCTATTAAGACCTTTTCATTTTCAAACATTGTTCTAAATGATTTTTATAAAATTTATTTCTTTTCCTTGTTTTCCCAAGAAGTCAGGTCCAACAATATGACTAAAGCAATTAAATTGCTTGAGTGTGCACTTGCATATCACAGAGTTGGGCGGGGGGGGTGGGGAGGGAAGCAAGCACAAGCCTGAGTAAAATCTGAGTGAACATTTTAAGGCAGTATTTAATACCTTGTCAAGACTCTCCCAAATAATGTTTTTCAAACATTTTCCATGAAGGAGTACCAAGCACTACCAAACTCTTACTCACATTTCACTGATGCAAATAGGAAGACAGACTAATTTATAGATGGCTTCAATGACAAGAAGAATCTGCAATTCTGTACTTGGGCTACAATGCTATGGCTTCTTACATAGTAAAGGTTTTTTTTTAGTTTGGGGGTGGGTCAAGAAAGAAGATTAAAGAAAAGCATCAACGAAAGCCTGAACCCCAGAAAACATACCCATGCATACACACATTTTAGCAGCTCCTGGCTCACCGGGGCCTTGAGCACTTTTGCACAATAAAATTACTTATTTCCATACCTACACAGAAAATATCAGACGTACTTAAGCCCACAGAGCCAGTTACTGCAATAAGCAACCCTTGCTTTAGTAAGTCACTCTTTTCAACACAATCGAGCCTATTTATTGAACTCAAGCAGCACTGAACTTTCTGCCAACACAAAAGATCGCAGGAAGAACATTTACCTTTCATGGCTTCTTTACGCTGTAGTTTATAGGTTTCCTTGCCACGGCAGAGGCGATAAATAAAGAATCCCAGCTGATCCACGTTTTCAATGCGATCAGTAACAATCATCTGTTCATGAATCAAATAGGACTGAGGCAAGTATGTTCCAGCCTGTTGAACAAAAATACAACATCTCTGTCAAAAGCCATCTCTTCATGGTCTAAGTACACCAGAAACACTGCAATGTGTTTCTTTAACATGGCTGTGACATATCTATCTTCTTTGAACTCTTTCAAAATATGTGTTACCCACAGAATTTTATTCTAAATGTGCAAACATGACTGCACTGCACTACAGAAATACATAACGATTACATTCAAAAAGGTCACAAAACTTCCACTGATGCATACATCCACCGCCCTCCTGCTACAGTAATGTCAGTCTTCAGCAGAGAAGAAATGTTTCCTTCCAGAAGCACCCACTGTCACGGATTAGTCCTGCATGCATCATCCAATGTTTTTGTTTAATTAGCAGCCCAACAGACCTCAGTGGGAACTAGTCCCAAATATGAGTTGGCAGAAGCGTACTCTACACGGAGATACTCTTGCCGATGACGCACACCAGCTGCAATATACTCCAGCTGCAGTCCACAGGGTTTGGGAAGCCTTGAACATATTCGCAGCATGGGTCACAACTCTCAAACCAAATGCAAGATGAGACCAACTAGCCTCCTAAGTTATTACAGCGACGCCACAATTGTTTATACAGAAAGGTATTAGAAAGCCATGGTGGTCTATCAAGTGTTTTAAGGCAATACACTGGAAAAGGGAAGAGCCATAACAACACACAAAGGCTTCCAAAGCCTTTTCTAGTCCCTTCAGTGTTATTTTACCATAGAAGAAATGATGGAGGAATCCAGCTCCGTGCACACCTCACTGGACACAGCTGAAGATGCACATGTTGCAGGAGCAATTACCCAGCACTGCGATCCAGCATAGCTGCAAACGTCATCTTTGACATGTCCTGTGCATCGCATACGGTTAAAAATGGCCACTTGGCTCAACAACGTGAACGAGGTGGATGAACAAATAAATATACCTGGGTTTCAAACTTGTTTCCCGAGGAAAGGAGGCTTTTAACTGTCTGTGTATGCAGGCAAACTGTATCAGTATATAGAAATGTGGTTCTCTAAGCTAAAATTACGGCTTGTTTTTTTTAAAAACAAAACAGCCTAGAGCACCTCCGTTTTCATAAAATGCCCTCTGCCTGTATTCAGAGCTCAATTTCATACATTTTTTGACTTGTGCAACCAGCGTGACTGCAGGACAGTGAACAGAAATTTAGTCACTTTGTGCATCTGCAGAATGGTTTCCCAAATTTCAGTTACAAAACATTTAGCCTGATTTTCTGAGACATCAAATGCCCACAGCTTTTTGTTAATACAATGAGAATTAAACAGATGTCTCATAAAATTAGGGCACTCACTGTTGGGCACAATGATCAAAACAGTTTGCTTTTGCACAGATTTTCAATTAAATGTGTGATGCCTGGTTATCCTCTTACTTCTAAACCACGCATATTTGATTTAGTACTAATGACAAACTAGGAAATTAACAGATTTTAATAGTGGAATTTGTGCAAACTAAAAATGGAAACAAAACAGCATACACAAAGTAAAAAAAAATGGGGTTACCGAGTCTTATGGACACTACCTCATCCTTATGTACAGGAAACAAATGTGTGGTTAAATAGCCAGCCTCAAAATACGCAGCCAAAAAGCAGCAGAGGATTTACTTGTGAAGTTATTTTTCACATGAAATTTATTTATATACATGAACCACTCAGAAATGGCTAAAATGGTTCCTGGAGTCCTAATTCCAAAGACTTGTTTGAAAGATGCAAACTAAAGATGATATTAACAATTCTAAAGTTACAAAAGCCCAGTAAAATAAAATTTGAAATACTCTCCCCAAACCTTAGACACACATTAGCTTATCAGCTCTCTTCCCCACCTGGAATGTTTTGCTGTTCTGCAGAGAAACCAGAAGGCTGAAAAACAATATAACTACTATTTAAATCTGCATTAAAAGCATACGTATGTTAGAGTTTAAAAAAAAAAAAAATACAACGATGATTAGATCTAATCCATTAGATTATCTGCTTTGGCCTCCTCATTTTCACAGGCCATTACGTTTCACCCAGTTACTAGGACTAACAGAACAGTGTGTCCCCACAGCGGCAACAAGCCAGCCGGCACCAGCACCACAAGCCCGGCAGTAGCGTTCAATTATCAAACCCTGCTGGGAAGTGATGAGGAGCTCTCACAATGTTATACTGAAAACTCATGTTCGGTTGTTCAGCGATTGTGGTGTCTCAGTCTTTTCCATGGTCCTTGTTTTTTAACAATGAATCTTGTTCTGAAGGTCTGGTGCTCACAGAACCAGGAACCTGGCTATACTAAAAAAACCCTGTTGCTTACATGGGCTTTGCTAATCATACAATCCAAATCCTGATCACTCCTACAAAACCTCCCTGGAAACAGGAAGATCCATCTTAAGGCTGCTGGAAGCCTCATGAATTCACATGCAGCACTAGTCCATCACACCTAGTGCCACATCTAATTTCCCTGAACATGCACAGGGGATCCAACAGACCTCATGTACATCACCCTCAAGCCACTGGATCGGTTCAAAGTAGGAGCCAGCCCTCGGGACCTATGCTTTAGACAATACCCCTGTTAAAAGGATTTCCCAGCATATCCACTTCAAGCTTCTCAGCTAACCAGTTAGTCCAGTGTATACACGCTTTACGGAAACTTTAGTCACAATGGACTATAAATTAAAAAAAACACGTGAACTACTATCAAGGAGTCTAGGTACACCACACTTAAACAGTTTTGTCAGTCAAATTTGTAGCATCAAAGAATAAAATCAGGTTTGTTTGCCTTTCTCTGAATTAATAATTCCTTCATGATTGTTGTTTATTAACTAAGAAGGTTATAGACTTTTTTCTTTCTTTGCAAAGATCTCCAGCAACCAGTTAACTTTCTAACACATGCGCCTTGAGTCAATGTCAGAGTTCAGGATGGGGTGGGCAAGGAAGAAAAAAAATTCTCCTTTTTCCCCTGTCTTAAGAACAAATTACTTACGATTTAACCGTACCTTGATGTTGATGAGCAGTTCCAGGAAATTTTTTGGTGGCATAACAACTGAAGTGTTCAGAGGAATCACATAGCACTTATCCAGGCTAAGGTCAAGATAGGCAGTGAGTCTCTGTTGAGGAAATTTTATTTTAAGTAAAATAACACGAACATCAGAAAACTCACATACAGACTTTGCTAAACTGCAACTGCCTCGTGTTGTTCTATAAATTATTGTTTTGTTCACTATAAAGTCTGTCCAACAAACTCCAATTTGAGGATAGGTAAATGCAGAAATAAAAGGCAGTCTTGATGAGAATTTAAATCTATGACAGGGATTTGTGCAAGGCAGCAGGCAATAAGTAGCTCAAACACACTACAGTAATGAAATTACAAAGGTGTAACTGAGCTGTTACGGAATTGAGTACAGTATTCATTTATTCTTACTGCCTGCATTTTGAAACAACAGGGGAACAGCCTTGCTCTAATCTTGCTTTTATATTTTGTTATAGTGTAATGGGGAAATGCTGCTGGTAAGAACAAAATATAGAAGGAAAATAACTGTTACAGATAATGCAACAAAAATTCTTTTGTTTTCAAATATACTACTGACTTGAAGTGTTAACGATTATTCATAGCTGAATTATTATCTTTATAGTACCTGAACTGCAATATTTGCCATTATTTGACAAAAACAGAGATATAAAAACCCAGGGAATTATCCTGATGAATCCTATGGCTCTGTTCACTGAGCTGCGTTGTATTACATTTGTTCTTGCTAAAGAAGACATTATCCCAAGCTGCTGAAAGCTCTAAGGCTGCAGACATATATAAAATACTGAGCACCAAGAGCCCAACAGTCAAAATAGTACCAAGACAGCAATCACCAGTGCAACTAATCTCATTACACAGAAGTGCGTGCTCTGCCTATGGCAAATGATCCTTGCACTGACCTTTAGAGCAAAGCCTTTCCACTAAATCAAAAACTAAATTTCTAATATTATGTTGTTCCCACTCACTTCTTAGATACTGCCTTCTTCCCCCCCCGGTTTTCCCTCTTTACCGTCTTTCCTCTAACTCTTAACAGAAGCTCCCTAAATATATTCAGGAATATTTTTAAATGAGATAGCTCAAGCAAGCAATGTTTTCCTCCAAATCTGGTTATGAATATTTGATAGATAGCACTCATTTTGCCCGGAAAACTTTAAACTCTGAAGTTTGCATAAAGAAAAAGAACGCTTCCCCATTCTTTTTCAGCCTTGCTTAAAAAAGCTGTTCAGCGAAGTCTTCAAATGTTCACAGAAATTTAGCTTCCTGAAAACCAGCTGTAGAACATTTCATCACTATCAGACTGATACAGAAAAGAAGGGCTACTAATTGTTTTACAGCTGTCGTTAGTACCAAGAGCTGTAAGGCCTGTCAACTGCCTTAGCAAAAATTTATTACCATGATTCCTATCAAAGTTGTTTCTACAAAGAAAGAAGCAACAGCTAAAAGGGCTTTGATACCCTAGTTCACTGCCTTTAGGAATCACAGTAGCCTGTGGTGCACAAGGAAAATTCAGCTTCTGCTAGGCTGCCTATGGCATCTGGAAAATGAGCTCTCTTGCATGGTCAGTCAGCTGGTCACTTCCTTCCCTTCCTGCTGCTGCTTTGCAGCTTTTTAGCCACGCTAGGAGAGCACCTCTGGGGGTGCCTGAACATACCTCATGACGTCAGATGCAATCAGCCTCTGCAAGTTGAGGTCAAACAGCCCTTTCCAAACTTCCCTTGGCACCACAGCAGTTGGTCAAATTCTGGCTCGGTGGACTTAGCACAACAAGAACTATATTCTCTTTACTTCCTCATGCTAAGGAAAGGAAATAGCTCTAAGATTTTCTCTTTCTAAAAAGAAAACTGTATTTGCAAATGATGGTTTACATACTACCTCATGATGATTGTATAACGCTGTACTTTGTATGCTCAGTTAATAATTGCTTGCAGCCTGCTGCTCATCAAAATGTCTCTGCTGCCTCCTCCACCCTCCGCTTTCCCTCACCACAATAATTAAGGAGTACACTTATCAGGATGACTGAGGGGGAACATTTTCCAAGTTTTAAATGCTTTCAGCTTCTTCAGAAATATTTCTTACCCGGTGGAAGTCATGGACGATATCAGCAGGATCACTGTCAGCAAACTCAGGGACTGGCACGCTGATAAACTCAACATCCTCCTCCTCCAGGATCTGAATATTTTGCTCAATCGTGTGGTAGCGAGCACTCTGAGCCTCTGCCCCAGGCTCAGGTAAACTTAAACCATCTTCAATGTACTTTATTCCACAGAAATACACACCTCCCTGCTAAAAACAGTAAACAACCCAGCAACAAAAATATCAGTAGCCTAGAATTTTAAAACTAATATTCTGAAAGTACTGCAGGAAGAAAAACTTGTCAGACTACATGAAATGTTTTCCCTTTAATCTGACTTGTTTTCCCTTTAATTTGACTAATACATCAAACTAGGAGCCAGTTGCTATCTACAACAGGACCACAGGTAAAACCTTGATTGTGCTGAACCCAGAGGGAGTCCTTCCCTTGAACTGACGGAAAATGGAATCCCAAAAGCAAGTTCTTAAAATCTAGTCTTCTATTTGGCATCCGTTTTCTGTGACACATTGTATCTTTACAGAGACAATGAAGCTCCTAAGTCTATATGCATGCATATTATTATGAAAATATAATTTAACTGTAGTCAGTAGTTACAATTTGAAACATTGAAACTGGTCATCCAAACCACCTTTAAAAAGCAAGTCTAACTCTGAATTTGGTCCTGCTTGCAGCAGGGGCTTGGACCAGATGACTCCAAAAGTTTCCTTCTAATCTCAGTTATTCCGTGAAGTTGCTTAGTTTTGCAATGCTTCAGAAGTTTACAAAGTCAGTTCCTAAAATAAATTTTTTTGAACAGTTTTAAAAGACAAAAAGGTAATAAAAAGAAATTAAAACAAGTAATTTGTGGCCTTCTGTCACAGTACACATGGCAGGTTACCTAAGTGAAATGTAAAATAAGGTCCTGAGTCAGTGGAAGTCATATACCAAGTTTACAGGCCAGATAGTTTTAGAAACATACAACTTATGTATATGCATATGCCATGACTTTAAAGTTTTACATTGAAAACATGTCTTCAGTGCAATGTTAGTCAATTCCTGAGTCTCTCCTTCAACCCAGATCTGAGCCATAAACAAGTACCACAGGCTTGAATTAAATGGCACTTTTAATTTCAGCTAGCTGGCACCTGAAAGGTGGAGCACCATGGTGATAAGCACGGATAAAACATGCATTAGTAATACAGCAGGCTTTCAGCTACTCTCAGCTTGTTAATTCACTAAAATACACCACGCTGTTTAAGCATCATTTGCAACACTACTGCTCCCTTATAAATTAGGTTAACGTCATAGCCAAAGAGACTATAAACTGCAAGTTCAGCTAAAATTTCTCATGTTTAATCACTTTGCCTTCCACATTAGCAGCTACTAAAATGGGGAAAAAAGCAAGAATCCTGGTAGCAGGGACCAGAACACAGAATTGCTACCTTATAATTATGTACACTAACCAGTGGGCTAGAAGGATTCATGTTTTACTTACACTCTCCCTTTCTGACCCTGTGAATCTTGCAACCCTAGCAGTTTCTGAAGGAGGGAGGGTGTCCTCGCACCACTCAGGCAACAGCCCAGCACATCCAGTGCTGCCCAGTGACAATTCCCCCCCAAGGAAGACAATATTTAACTCAAGATCTCTCATGTCTCAGGTAAATGCTCTGCTTCCCTGGCACCACTGCCTCCACAGGGCTCCTCTTGCAGCAGTGCCATTTGTGAAAGACTGAAAATACATTTTGTCAGAGGTCTAATCTTGTCAGCATGGATTAGACTTGACAGAGCATGTTTAACCATGTTGACTGTGCTTCTCCCAAGTCTGCTGCAGGGCCTGTATTTCTTATCCCTGTGGAGACTAGGAAAGAGGAAAGTCACCACGCTGCTTTGGCAAGCAGTCCCCTTCCCATGCATTCGCAGTACCGCACACGTCTTGGAAATCGGGGGTCAAACAAGGAGGTTTTCAAGGAGTTAATCTACCTCCAGTATTCGGCACCACGAAACAGGAGACAGCAGGTGAAAAGCTGGGACACCATTGGTGTTCCTAAACCCAAGTCCTATTTAGGTATAATCCTTTCTCTGCAAAGTAAGGTTTTCAAAAGTGCTGCTCCCTTTTATTTGCCGGCTTTGCTCCTGCCCTCCTCTGCTGATAGGTAACTTCAGAGCAGGCTATACACTTTGCCTTTAGAAAAGCTGAAGTTTTGGAAAGAAAAAAAAAGTAGAAAGGCTATTTGGCTAATTCTGTTGCTCCTCTTCCCTCTTTTAAATGTAAGGTGTAACAGAGAAAAACATTTTGTTATGAGAGGGTTGTGTATTTGACTTACCTGGAATGCAAAATACTTGTACAGATAGGCACCACCGAGGATCACACCAGCCAGCAAAAAGGCCAAGCCGAAGCACATGCACCAGCACCAGGCCCTCCTCTGCCCCACAGGCACAGCATCCTCAGGGTCCTGCAACGCATCAGTGCGAGAGACCTTCAGCACACTGCTCCCAAGCCACGTATGACAGCAGATACTTCAGGTCCAGCAAATACAAACATTGCATCCGTCAGAAAAGGCTATATGCACTTTATCACAATTGTTTGGGAACGTATTTTATTTGGTAAAGATCTATTTAAGTTGAGGTTTAGGAAAACTTGTACTAACAGTCACTTTTAATGCCATTGTCATTGACTAGATCAGCAGACTTAAGTCTTAGGGAAGAGAAGAAGATAACAAAATCTCCTGAGATACCCAATAACACACAGTGAGCTGCTTTACAAATTGCAGACAGAAAAATATCCATTCTCAGGCAACCTCCATGCAACAACAGCAGCGTAAGAAAGTCAGCTCGGAAAGGTCAGATTCATTTTTATCTTGGTATATGCAAGAAGAACCAACAAAAGATCAAAGGTAAGAGCAGAAAAATACATCCTTTCCTACATTGTTCCATCAGGAGGAAAGACACTTTACCACCTCTTTGCTGGCAGAATAAGAAGAGTGGGAATGGAAAAAAAAAAAGCTTTGTAAGTTGTTGTTAAGAAAGCTTTGTGCTCTAAGACAATGTTGGCCATGCCTCTATCTGCTGTTCATGTTATGCTAAAGGAATGACAGGATGTTTCCCCTTTGGGGCACTAATTTGCATAACCACGCAGTCCCCACAGGCACCCTAAGCAATAAACTGCTGCTTGCAAAATCTTTCCTCTATCAGCCACATTACAATGCTCTTTCCTCCCCCAAGTGTTTGCATAACTCGCATCAAAAAAACCCAAACCAAACCAAAACAAACCCCATCTTTGAGTCACCCTCTTCCAAGCCATGATAATCCTGGGAAAATATCAGAATTCAAATAAATACAAAGCAATTCATTACCCCTTTGCAACGAAAAAAATAATAGGGTAGAATGATGACTACAGCAAAATCATTACAGCCAAATAAACAAAAAACCCCAAACCAGAAAATGGAAGAAGAGCATGAGGGAGGCACTTGAGGAGGCATTGATAGCTAGGGTTGTCAGTCGATGGTCTGCCTCGTGTGGGGTTTTTTTGCAGTATTTGCTAATTAGGATGATTTCCCACTTGAACAAAGTTGTGGGTATAGTCCACATGCTGCCTTGGCCCAGTTGGGAAGAAATTCCCCTCATCTCGCTGCAGCCATCTAAGCAAGTCTGACACCAAATGGAAAAGAGACCTTCCCTGTAAATGGTGGGGAGAAAGAGATGCTTCCTGAGAACAACTCATCCCAACCATCCCTGAGAGGGAGAAGTGGTCTTTCGGAGGGACTCACTTCTTTTCACTGATTATAGAGGGAAATTCCTTGGTTAATAAACTAGGTACCTAAATCATATGCAGCTAAAATTAGGTGATGTGAAACCCACCTTTACAGCACACTGCAATTATCTTTCATACAGAAGTAGCAATTCAGCTTCTTTGCCAGGCAACGGCTGCCAAAATCTGATTCAGAAATATTTAGAGTTCAAACTGAAGATATTTCACAGATTTTGTTTTACGTTATCTTACAAACTACCGCAGTAAATCAGATTGTGAAATGTCCATCTTTGGAGGTTTTCAAGACTCAACTAGACAAAGCCATGGCTGATCTTGCTTTGGCAACCATCCTGTTTCTATAGGGAGATTCAACCAGATGACTTCCAGAGGTCCCTTCCAACCAACATTTCTGGGATATGTTACAAGGCAAAGTGAGAGTGGCTAGAAAACAGTTGCCATGGACTGAAAAAGCAGAATGAAAAGACAAGTAACAACTTTTTAAAAGTTTTTACATTACTAATTATTTAAGGAATTCAGTGTAAAGAATTACAGGATTACTAGCTGTGTGGTGTTTAACCTGGCTGTTTGCAAAGACTGAGAATAGGACATAATACCCATGGTAATCTAATTAACTTTCAGGTCAGGTTAAGATTCACTGTGGATTCTTCTATAAATCATCTCAATTATAAATCTAAACCAGGTAAAACAAGGATTTTTATTTTTATGTTGCCCCATATCATTAGGTAACTATTTCCCTAGATATTTCAAAGCATAAAGGACATCCGATTGAAACTTTTTTAAATAGCTGCCATTTAAACTGTTATAAGTTAATGTCAGAAAAACTGATAGCAAGCTGGCTCTGGGCTACAATGTCAAAATATTCCCTAGTGAAGGATATAAAGAGTATCTTTATTCTTTCCCAGTGCTGCTTTTATCCCCCCTGCCCCCCACCTTTTTTAACTCCAAGCAGAATTGCCCATTAGTGGAATAACTGCCTCTTCCATTTTTACATCATTTTGTAAGTTCAGAAAGACTAACAAAATATGCCTCTGGGAAGTGGTGCAGAAGGCATACACAGTGTGAACATCTACCTGGAAATGGGGATTAAAGTCAAATTAATTTTGCACAGGCCACAAAAAAAAAAATAAAAATCTGAAAAAGGAGTAACTTTTGCACTTTTACCATGTAGTCCTGTTTTAGCCAAACCAGGACACGATAGGAGGAACCTGAAGGACAAGCTTATCAGTATTCCACTCTAAAGAATTTTGCTTTTATATACAAGATGATATATGTAAACAAGAGGTTTAATACAACTCTTATCCTCTACCAGCAGCTAAATTTTATCATTATTATTTCTGAAGGCATCCCTAATGGTGGCACGTTAAGCTACTCTGTATTTGTAGTTGCCTATTGCATTGATTTGTCCACCACTGACTGAAATCAGCCCATCAATTTCAGCGCAAGAGTTCAAGCCCAGTTTAGCCTCTCGCTGAGGAGTCCATGAAAGCAGTGCATCTCAGTACAGAGGAACCACAAGCACCAGGTAACACTGAAAACATTTTATGCTGTTGAAGGAGATCACAGAATTGATTTCCTCTTCTGAATTTTAGAACCAAGTACATTATCAAGCAGTTTAAAACCACCTGAAATTAAAATATTATAAATAACCTACTGAGGCTAAATTATACTCATATTAGTGGTTGTCCGCTGGCTAAGCTGGCTAAGCTTTTGTATTGTTGCCATGACAGCTTAGTTTGGGCTGAACTGACCCAAAAGAATAATTCATCCCTCTCTATATAAATCTGACCCGCCGCACTGCAAGAGAAGAAAGTCCAATGGATCCTCACCTCCTTCCAGGTGACTCATGTTCTAAAAAAAAAAAAAACCACCTCAAAACATTAAGTGAAAGCGGATCCCCACCAAGAGGGACAGTGCTGAATTAGCACCTCTGCCCCCCACATCGTTACGACTGCACTTTGTTCCCAGACAGAAGCACCCGCTTCTGAAGCCAGAGCACAACACGAGATTGCAGCCTCACTGAGGTTTTGCTCTAGGTCAGCTTTCCACTGCCAGAGGTATCTGACAGAAGAAAGCATCATGTACTTGAGGTGAAGACTGACCTCTAAAAATATGCCTCTCTACTTTTGTGAGCAGTAATAATTAATCATTGCTGTTCCAGTCCTTTCCTTTCCCCTCTTCTGCTTCATCCCTGCCCCATGTACTTCCAACCTCCTGGTGAATCCTCAACCTTAATATGCCGCCACAGAACTAATCTTCTCTAATGCAAAATGCCTTAGGAGGAACTAGATGCAAGCCCAGTACTGACTTGTTTCCCTTGATGCGCTGATTGTTCTAATTGGAAAACGTTTGATTAGCCTATTTCCCATGGACAAGACATGAAACAAGCATCTCTCCGCCACCTGTACGCTAAATCCTACAGCGTTACAAGTAAGTGGTTCAGAACTTCCCAAACTGAATAGCTTCAAGCTCTGCAGGAACAATTTTCCTGTAGATAGAATATGAGAAGTATTAAATTCTCTATTATTTGAGATTGGTAAGATTCAAATCTGTTGTGTTCTCACAAAGACGTTACAAGATGACTGAAGTTTTCAGTAAAGAACCCTTCATCAGTGACCACAGCAGCTAACGTAAAGCTGCACTCTGTCTTGTTACTGGAACCATGCAACACTTTGAAGATGGACAAATGATACCACAAACTATTTACCAAAGCATCTCTCGACTACAGAGAGATCTTCACAAGAACATATTTATGACAATTAGCATTAACTGTTCTGGAGTGGATTAGAAGAAAAAAAAAAAGTTAATACCCCCTAAACCTGCAAATACTAGCAGTTATTAACAGCTACTGGCCATATATTCTCTTGCTCTTTTCAGTTAAATTTTAATGCTACATTATTTTTTTTTAAATAAATGCTGAATTTCAGAAGGATCAAATTTATGTTTGGGGTAACATCACAAAATTCTTCTAAGAAGCTCCAACACTGAGCCACAAATCTGTATAATTAGACTTGGTAATTACTTAGATTTTCCCTTGTGGCTTTTTGTACATAGTGGAATATAATTGCTTTAACATTATAAAAGTAAAGCAGTCTGAAAACTAACAAGGCATATGTCTAGTTCGTATTAAAATGGATGATTAGATTGTCAGACCTTGTTCCTTTGCAGAAATTAAGGACACATCAATTATGTGATTTAAAAAAAAAAAACAAACAACTCATGAATCAATTAGGTAAGAATCCACCTAAAAGGTGCGGAGTCCAGGATATTGTATGACTGTTGTGCATCCATGCAAAAGACAATGGCCCAAATTTAAAAATAAATACGATAGCAATAAAAATAATTTTGGGAGGGGGTAATGTCTTTCAGAACCAACACAGAGTCTTTGATCCACAGAGAAACCAGATGCAGAGTATTACCGAGTATTACAAACATTACTTAAAATGTCTGCAGTATAATAAACAAACTATCCATAATTATGCATCTGAGAATAACATCTTTTATATATATATATGTATATATATACATACACACACATAAAAGCTTAAAATTAATATGGGTAGAACTGGCTGGAAGCTCTTCAGGACAGTTTTCTTCCGAGGTCTGTTGCGTGCCAGTTAGCTCACATGGATAGACAGAAAGCAGTGGGGCAGACTGAGCTTCCTAAAGGCAAATATTGACCAACTGGAGCTTTAATTAGTGGAATGGGGAGAAGGAAAGTTAATGATGACTCCCTAAAAGTGTTTTTTAA